TCATGCCTGGCATTTGTTGTTGTTTTGAGACAGGGTCTCATTGTGTAGCCCAGGCTTGCCCAACTCATGGCGATCTTTCTGCCTCAGTCTCCTGAGTGCTGGGATTAGGGGTATGTGCCATTACACCCAGCTTTTAGGTTCTTTTAAAAAAATATATTTTTACATGTACATGTTTGTAGCACATAATGATTACATTCATTGTGGGGAGTTGGTACATGTATACAATACATCTCAATTCTTTGTTTCTTTTCTATTTTTTATTTTTTGAGACAGATTCTCACTATGTAATTCAGACTGGCCTTGAACTCACTATGTAGCCCTAGGCTGGGCTTATATTTGGGGTGATCCTCCTGCCTCAGCCTCCCAAGTTCTGGGATTACAGGTGTGTGCCACCATGCCTGGCTCCCATTTTCTTTGATTTTGCTCTTTAATTTACTTATGCTTCAGGTTTCTTATATAAGAGAAACCACACACTATTTAAACTTAACTTTCAGGTTCTTTCTGAGAGCTACCTAGGACCAAGATGCCAAAGAAATATATTACAATTTTTTTTGTTTTTGTTTTGCTTTTTTTTCCAGTATCGGGGATCGAACTTACGACATTGTGCTTGCCGGGCAGGCACTGTGCTGCTGAGCTAAACCCCCAGCCCCAGTATTACAATTTTTGATAAGTTGTTATTAACCTTAAAAGTTGATTTGATTGGAAATGCTTTTCTTGATGATAGGACCTATTATTTTTCTAATTTAGGTCATATATGTGTGAATCAGTATTTCTTGCTAGAATAAGATACGATTTAATGATTTTGTTTCTATTAATTTTGAAGACATCATAATCAAGAAACATTCAAATACCTAAATTCAGTATGTGGTAATGGAAACTTTACTATGGCAATGTTAGTATTTTGAGTTACATACTAAGAGTGTATAGAATAACATTTTCAAAATTTATTCTGTTTTATTAGATGGCAGCCCCATTTTGAACTATTTTTTTTTTTTTTTTGGTGGGTACCAGGTATCAAACTCAGGCCCTCACGCTTGCCAGGCAAGTGCTGCGCTGCTGAGATACATGCCCAGGCCACTCCTTCAATCTTGATGAAAACCAAGAACTAGAAAACATCTAACTTGAAAAAAATTTGTTAGTCATTAGATAATTCACTTTCTTTAGACCTTGCTTTTGTTTCATCGATGTCTCTCTGAGGGAAATGTGTTTCTTTTTAAGAAGTCTCAAAAAAAAAAAAAAAATACAAGCCAACTATTTTTTTTTAGTTTTTTTTGTTTTTCTGGTTTTTCTCCGGTACCAGGAACCGAACTCACGACCTTGCGCTTGCCAGGCAAGCGCTTTTGCCGCTGAGCTAAATCCCCAGCCCCTACAAGCCAACTATTTAGGGCCGGGGATATAGCTCAGTGGCATAAGCACTTGCCTGGCAAGCCTGAGGTCATGAGTTTGATTCCCGGTACCCCACCCACCCCCAAAAAATACAAGCCAGTCTCCTACTTGCTGTTTCCTTTGGCATTTAGTCTCTTTGAATGTGACGCCCTCCCCTTGGTTGGTTGGAAATACTGTCTATCTGAGCTACCTTTTGATGCACGAGTGTCTTCTACACTCACCTTGGGCAGGTATTCGACTTTGCTGCCAGGTGGGATACGCCAACAGAGGATCCACGTGGTGGTAAGGCCTTGGTGAAGCGGCTTGCTCCTGTGCCAAAACGTGTGGTTTCCACTACAGCCTGGGAGTTGGAGGTTGGCTGAGTGGGGTGGAGGGAGGTGAGCCAGCCAACCTGAAGCTTCTAGTGGGGAACTCAGCACTCCTGCTTCATTTTGGGGGCTGTGGTTTCTCCTTGTGTGGTCTCTGTGGCTTTGATTTTCCTGGATAGTTTTTGTAATTTCTGGTCCACTGAAGGTTACCTTTGATTTCTAGATCTTTTATTTCTCCCACTTTTTCTTTGTATTAGGGATATAGTGATGTGTTCTACCCTGAGCTACACACTCAGCCTTACTACTGTATTATTTTTAAATTTTTACTTTTAAAAATTTTTTGAAAATAAGGTTTCACTAGGCTGGACTCAAACTCCTGGTGATCCTCCTGCCCCTTCCTCATAAATGCTGGGATTATGGGTGTGCATCACCATGCCTGGCCCTAGTTCTCAAAAAAAAAACAAAGCACATAAACTTTCTGTTACTTTTAAGTACTTGTGGTAGTATGTTATAGCTGACACATATAGGTTACTTCTATTTATCTGAAGTTCTTAATGCTTTAATGTGCTCAATTAAAATAGGATGCTGTGAAACCTTTTCTTCCTTCCTGCCTTCATCGCTGGCATCCTTTTTAGCAATTTTCAGTGTGTTTGCTTTATATTCTTTCATGGTTTTTTAAAAAATTTTTTTTTTAATTTAAATGCTATTTATTTGTTCTGCTCAGTCTGGCAGGCATAGATTTTTTTTATTTATTTATTTTTGTCTTTTTGAGACAGGGTCTCACTATGCAGTTCAGGCTGGCCTTGAGCTCACTTTGTGGCCCAGGCTGGCCTCAAACTTGCAGTGATCCTCCTGCCTCAGCCTCCCGAGTGCTGGGATTACAGGGGCGTGCCACCACACCCGGATAAATCTTGCATTTTATATTTAGTAATGTGTTCTGGATTTTTACTTTTCTTATGGAAAATGTCTCAGGATCTTGATAATGATTTTTAGGAAGTTCTTGGTCAGCAGGTTCACTTTAGAGCTAGGCAGATTGCTGAAATGTTGGATAACAGAGCCTTTCACATAGGGTGGGGCTTCCCCAAGGTTATCTGTGTGTTCAGTGCAGTTACAAATAAGATCTCATTAAGCTTTTTTGTATAAATCGGTAACTAGTTCTAAAATTTATATGGAAAAGCAAAGGAACTAAACTGTAGTTTTTTTTTAGACTTACTATATAAATACAGCAATCAACACATATGGTATTGGGGCTGGGGATTTAGTTCAGCGGCACAGCGCCTGCCTGGCAAGCACAATGTCGTGAGCTCGATTTCCGGTACTGGAAAAAAACAAAAAACAAAAAAAGACACATGGTATTGGTAAAATGAATAGACTTCTAGGTCAGTGGAAAGGAATAAAATATAGAAAGCCCAGAAATAGACTTGTATGAAATATGGTCAGTTGATTTTCCAGAGAGTTGCACATTTGCCCAGCAATTCAATAGAATAAGAATAGCCTTTTCAACAAATGATGCTGAATAATTAGGGATCCATGCATACAAATACAAATCTAGACCCACATTTTATCCCACATATAAAATTTGTTATATAAATTTATGTAATTTTATAAAATTTATTACATAAAATTATATCATAGACCTCAGTGAAACCTAAATATGAAAACTATAAAACTTTTTAAAGGAAGACATGGAAAGATCCTGAGACCTTGGGTTAAGCAAAAATCTCTGTGATACATCATCAGAAGATCCCTGAAAAAATGATAAGGTAGACTTCATCAAACTTCAAAATTTCTGCTCTTTAAAAGATACTGTTAAGGAAATCAGCCAGGCATGGTGGCACATACCTGTAATACCAGGACTCAGGATGCTGAGACAGGAGGATCACTTTGAGTTCAAGGCCAGCCTGCACTACATAGTGAGACTCTTGTTTCCCCAAAAGACAAAACACACACACAGAAATACAACACATTAAAAGACAGTGATGAACATGGGTGTTGATTGGTGGGTCAGCACCCGCCTAGCATGTATAAGGCCGTGAGTTCAATTCTAGTACCACAAAAGAGAAAGCACCTAAAAAAGGACAATATTTGCAAAACTCACCTGATAAAACTCACATTTCAAGCATATAAAGAAGTCTCAGCCAGGCATGGTGGTACAGGCCTGTAATCCCAGCACTCAGGAGGCTGAGGCAAGAGGATGGTTATGAGGTTGAGACCAGCCTGAGCTCCAGAGTGAGCTCAAGGCCAGCCTGAACTGCATAGTGAAACTCTTTCTCAAAAAGACAAAAAAAAAGAAGTCCCAGAATCCACTAATCAAATAAACAATCCAGTTTACAAATAGTTTTTTAAAAAGTGATCATTCAGTTCACCAAAGATAAAGGAGTGGCAAATACACATGCGATGTTTGACATCCTTAGCTCTATTTATTTATTTATTTATTTTTTGGTTTTTCTCCGGTACCGGGAACCGAACTCACGACCTTGCGCTTGCCAGGCAGGTGCTTTTGCCACTGAGCTAAATCCCCAGCCCCAACATCCTTAGTTCATTAAGAATGAGACGTACAAATGTGCATCAACACACTTACTGCAGCGCAGAAGTGCAGCTCTTGGCTTCAGGAGTGCTGCTAGTGTCTTCCATGCAAGCTTCCTTCAGGCTGGTGACGGTGCCTGCACGCCCAGTTGGGAATTTTTGAAATGGCTCGGTAGCTTTAGTGCATTTGAGACTTCAAGGGGCCAGGGATATAACTCAGTGACACAAGCGCCTGTCTGGTGCATTTGATTTTCATCATGGATTCATCATGGATCATAGGCCTGTGGTGTGTTGTGATGGTTTTGTTGAGTTTAGTGATAATCTTTGACAGCTTACAGAACTGAAAGGACTTATCCTTGCTTATTGGAAAGGCCTTTCATGTGCTTGGGTCAAGAAGGCATGAATGACCCAGTTCTGTTAGGAGTTTTCACTTATTAAAGCTTTAAGTTTGGACTGTTTTTAGGTACTTTAAGATAATACTATGAAAAGTTATAAAAAATTCCACTAGTAAAACAGTATTAAGAGTGGTGAGGAGTAGTGCATGCCTGTTATCCCAGCACTCTGGCAGGCTGAGATGGGAGGATTATAAGTTCCAGCCCAGCCTGCACAAGTTAGCAATTTAGCCAGACTGTTTCAAAATGAAAAAGAGCTGGGGATGTAGCTCACTGTGAAGGCCTTGGGTTCAGTCCCGAGTACCAAAATGAAACAAGATAGTAGTTGGATCCAGTTTTTTATTTTTCTATTTGTTACATCTGCAGTTATTCTTTGTGATTGTTGCAGGTACTCCATCTTCTAAGCCAACGGTGCTAGCCAACGGTGACCATGCAATAGAAGGGAACAATACTGCAGGTAAGTGGTCCCCAGAATTCTTCAGACACATGAGTGAAATGTGCATAGGAAACACCTTGGCACGCTCCTTTGTAGAGGATTGCTAGTGCAAGCACATGAATTATTTCTGAGGGTATTGTTGGATGTAAGGACATCTACATAAAATCTCTAATGCTGGAAAGACAGGAATAAATTTCCTCTGATATTACTTAAGTATTTGCTGGAGCTGTACCAGTCATGATACAGATGCAGAATACTTATTATCACATTATGTTGTGTGGGAGGCTTTTGGCTTCTTCAGCTCTTTGAGGCAGGTCTCTTCCCTGAATGCAGGCTGTACTTAGTTTGTTCACTGAACCCTGATATTAGGAAATCTGTGAGGAATAAATTACAAGTGCTCTCTTTTGTTTTTTGTCCTTAGTCTCTTTTTTCTGTATCTTTCCCCTAACTTTTGCTTTTGAGATTTGTCTTTAACCCTGGCCCTCTCGTAAGGCTTTGATGTTCTCAGCTCGCACTGAGCTCTCTGGGTGCTCACCCCATAGCCAGCATGAACCCCTGCCCTAGTGTCTTTGTGGTGAGCAGAGTTCTCAGTGTTCTAGCAAGAGTCTGCCCACAGAGGTGTATTATATAAATCTTTTCTTAGGTAGCCTGTATGAGAGTCATGTGTTATATTTTTATAAATAACTGCACTTAATTTGCAGTTGTGGCCGGGCCGATGCAGTTGACCCAGATGAATTGCCTTCTGCTGCTCATGCACGCCGTTCTCTGTAGCAGTGTGCTCTTAAGAGGCGCTTGACACCCAGTGGTGCAGTGGAGGCCAGCATCAGACACGACTGTTGCTGTGTTTCTCTCCCCGCCGGAATACCTTGACCACGAGGAGCCTTTCCTGGAGCTACCATGGTGCTCCTCCTCTGAGGCCTCCAGAAAGCCTTTGGTTAGCAGTGGTAGCTATTCCAGGATTTAGTCTTTATTCTGAGACTTAAGAACTGCTGTATATATCTCTGTACCTCAGAGTTATTGATGATTTAGTTCTGTTTGTTCTGAATATTAGTTTTACCAGTGACATTAACCCTAGCAACTGATAATTTAGGTATTCTTTACTTTAAAAGCTAGAAATAACCAGGAGTGTCACATTATTTTCCAGCTTTGTGAGCTGACATTTTTGTGTTTCTTCAATTATTGTAGTCACATGCAGTGCTGACTGTCCTGAACCTGCTTGAAAGCAGTCATCCATATGAATTGCAAGTATCTCTGTGATTAAAGAAGAAACTGGGACATGAACTCTTAAAAAATGAATAAATTCAGCTCTTTAACCAGGAGATAGTCTTAGGGGAAGGAAAGGGTAGAGACGTTGATTCGATGAGCCAGGTGGAAAGAGCGGATACCAGTTTCACCAGGGCAGGAGCCAGCAACCAAAACTAGGCTCAGTTTCTTCTGCGGTGGGATGTCGAGTTTACCCAGAAGAGACTCAGTCACTTTGCAGCAGTCTCTGCACTGCCAGGTCTTGCTAATCAAGGGGAGAAAGAGGATGAAATTTCATGACTTCCTGTTTGTTAGTGACAAAAGCAGCTTGTCTTTTTTTTGGTACTGGGAATCAAACTCACGACCTTGCGCTTGCCAAGCAGATGTTTGTGCCACTGAGCTGTATCCCCAGCCTAGCAGCTCATGTGTTTAATGAACTTCCCAGTGATGTTATGAGAGCAAGTCATTCTGATTGTGGGCATTTTTCTACCCTTACATAGGATGTAACTTGTATACCTGAATTGTTTGAATTCTGATTTTAATACCTCAGCTACTTCAAAACAGGCATTTTACTGAGAATATGCTTGTTTCCGTGGAGAAGGGAGGAAATAGGGAGGGGGTGATGTGCATGTTCGGGAGCATGTTGTGACTTGATTCTAATGTGTCCATCACTTGCTAAAGCATCTCGCTCAGTGCCATTATGAAAATTCCCATTTTGGATTTCCCTCAGGGCACTGTCTGTGGTCCTGAGAGCAGGCCCATTGCACAAATAACAGCATATAAGGGGTTTGTAAGCATCTTGCTTTGTTGAACTTGCTGTTTACTAATGACCTGTGCTTTTCCGCCCTTTCCTTCCCCTTCCCCTCCTTCTTCCGCCCTTTCTGTTTTTCTCCTCCCAGAAGCCTAGCGTGTCTCTCAACACTGGGGCTGCGGCAACACCAGACCAGTGATTTTTCTAAGCACCGTTACACTCCTAAAACCTTCAGCATTTTGCAGCTTTGCTTTTCCTTCCGGGACACGATGTAGAAGAAGCTGAGGGTAGTTCTTCGGGGCCTCTCTCTGCTGATGCCTGGGCAAACCACCTCCTGCTCCTTGTGCTCTGCAGGGCTTGATGGAACCTCCTTTCCCTTTGTGAGCACAGTGTGCAAGAGAAAATCTTTTTAATTTTAGTGTTTTATAAAGATCATCTAATGTCTTTTATTTCTTGTTCTTTTTAAATTTTATCATTTCATCCAATATCACATTTTTTCTTTACTTTAAACATTTTTAGTTGGTCTTTTTCATTTCCTTTTGAATATTCAACATGAATCAGGATATTGTAACCCAAACGAGAACATGTGCTTTCATAAAGGAGCTGAGGTCACCAGTACTGCAGTGATTTCCCTTTCCTGTCTCTCCTCTTTCCCTCTGTGAGCTTGCTTTTTAGTGAAGTGTATTCTTTCAGCCTGTTTCACCTTACGAAAATCTGGTTAAGGATACCTATTTTAATTTAAAGTTTTTTATTTTAGACTACCTCCAAATTAAGTTCCTTTTTGTAAGTTGGGCCAAAGTTACCTTTATCATGAAATTTTATCCATTTACCTAGAGCTGTAATCTTCTGAAAAATCTGACTACCCTATTATTGTGTATTGAATTTTTATAATCAGAATTAAACCTTTTGAGCATGATCATCAGGTATCAAAATGAAAACTGAGAAGTTAAAGAAAATGGAACTAAGTCATACTGCCCTTGAATCCTGTATTGGTAGAATACCAGGATGTTGATAAGATTAAAAAGTAACTTCTGTAACAACTCCAGAGTAAATATAAATTGCAGCATATTTAAAAATACAACTGAGCAGGTTTCTAATGGGGTAATCTTTCCCTGCCATGGGGATCAAACCCATGGGGTTGGACATGCTAACCAAGTGCACTGCCTCTGAGCTGTATCCTTAGCCCCCCTTGTTTTGGTTTGGTGTGGTTCTCAGGTAGGTTCTTGCTGAGTTGCGCAGGCTGGCCTTGAAGTCCTGGGCTCACGCAGTCCTCCTGCCTCAGTAGTCCTAAGCAGTTTAACTACGGGCACAGACACCACCACGCCTAGCTGCTGATGGCATTCTCTGATTTGACTCAAGGTCTGTTGAAGGTTAATATCTCTTTGAACTCTAGAAATAACTTTTTATGCTGCATTCTAGTGGGATTGGTGGATCACACACAAGACCTGGTTGTAAAATCATTTATTGTGAGCATTAACATTTATAGCCACACATTCTGTGGATTGTCTCAGTGGTACTTTCTTATTTTTGTTCTTTATTTTTCCAAAATAGTAGGTTAAAAAAAAAATCTTGAATCATTTCAGATAAGTGCTGTGCATCTTTACAGTAATAAGTTTTGAATGGAGTTTTAGAAATAGAACATAAATGATGGAGAATGTTTTGAAATCTTAGAGGACAGTTCTAGTTTCAAATCTGGAATATAAAATGCTCTTTTAAATTTTCTATCCTCTTACTGATTGTGTAGGGTTTTTTTAACCTCTAAGGTACTGATCTTTTCAGATTAAAAGAAATAATTGGTACCATATCCAGAGGAAGGTACAGTATATGTAGTTTCAGATCCTGTAATATAAAACTACTTTGGGGAGATGAAATTGGGGTCATGAAAGTATAAGCAGTCCTTGCAGGAACTCCTAACATTCAGAAAGCACCTCCTCTTCAGCGGGGATCTGGTCGCAAGGGTTGACGTCTCTCCCAAGTGTTCTTGCCGGAGATGCTTGAGGGACCGCATTTGAGAGGGAAGAATTTGGGTTTATTGATGAAATAGAAAACCCTTATCGCAGGAAAGTATACCATCAAATGAGACACAACTCTTTCATCTTTGGTGTGCAGTTGTTTCAGAAGTTGTTTTGGTGCAGAAGACTTTTCAAAATTGGCAGTTAGTACCTTTTAAAAATTACGTTTGACATCTTTCTGCTGCTTCACACCAGGCTCTGTAGCTTGTGCAAGGGGCGGGTGGGTAGAGAAGGCTGGGTGCAGGTCTGTCTTGCACACACTCATACTTCATGACTGACCTTGATTTGTTCCACTTTTATTTCCATTTGATTATGTTTGGTTTTGTTTGAGAATTTTAAAAATTGTATTTTCGTTTTGAACTTATGGAATTGTTGAATTTTTCTACTGACAGCTAGTTAAAAATTGGTATATTTTATTACCTCCCTGTGTTTCCCTTGGATGTTTAACTTTGAAAGAATGTAATGTTTCACATGCATTCATGTGAAGTTACACTTGCTCACATGAAGTAGCCAGTCCCAGAAAACATGCTTATTGCCGTAATGCTTGGGCACCAGTGTCCTGCTGACCCACTGGTGAGGCAGCCAGACTGCTGAGGGTTATCTGTTGAAATGTGATGTTTTTCACTCTCTCTTTCTCTCTCTTTTCCTTTCTTGGCCCAATGTTGAAGATATAGAACTTGTTTTCAAATAATAATTTTCTAACTTCATTCACACACCTAAGTATGTATTTTTCGTGACTTTAGAGCTTAACAGTTTGTATATGGGAGCATTTTAATGTGATCATTGTACTAAATGAACTAACTAATAAATATCTTACATTAACCTGTCACAGACTGCATTTTGGTTGGGGTCTTAATTATTGAAATGTAATTTAACTAAGACTCAGTTTTCATAAATAAAGATTCTTTGAGACCTGAGTTACTGACCTGACAAAACTTCTACTCTCACCTCTCATAATTTCATAATTGTATGGGCATTTTACCAAATAATTTCACTTACGTTATCAGTTTTTCATC